CTCCCACCCACCGCTCTTCACTTTCAGGTGCAACTCCAAACCCCAAACCCCACGGCCCCACCCCCTGCTCTTTAACTTGGCTGCAATATCCATCTCCCGCCACCCCCTTGTTCACTTTCGCCCGTGACACTCAACATCCACTCCCCCTGCCCTACCCCCACTCTTCAAATTTGTCTGTGATAGGTTGTCAGAGGTTGTCTTAGCGCTGCTAGGCGAGAGGGGGGGCTTTTACAGGGGGGATGATTTTTAAAGGGGGAACGAATTTTAGGGCCCATGCATTTAGGGTGCCCACACACCCCTACCCCCCCTCCTCACTTTCGTCCACAACTCCCCCTCCCTCCCCATGTTCACTTTCGTCTGCGACTCCAATCCCCACCCAACCCTCTGTCCATTATTGTCCACCGACAGCACCCCACCTCGCTCTTCACTTTCGTCCGCAAGTCCGACCCCCCCCATGTTCACTTTTGTCTGCAACTCCAATCCCCCACCCAAGCCTCTATCCATTATTGTCCAGAGACTGCACCCCCCTACTCTTCACTTTCGTCCGCGATTCCAACCCCCCCCGTTCTACACTTTTGTCCACAATTGCAACCCCCACTCTTCACTTTTGTCTGCAACTGTGTGTGTGTGTGTAGTTTTATGTAATTGTGTTGTATGTTGTGTGTAGTGTTTGTATACGTGTGTAGTTGTATATGTCATTGTGTGGTGTGTTCTGTGTGTAGTGTTTTGTATGTGTGTGTAGTTGTATATGTGAGTGTGTGTGTGTGTGTAGTTTTATGTAATTGTGTAGTATGTTGTGTGAGTGCGTGTGTGTGTGTGTGTGTGCAGTTTTATGTAATTGTGTAGTATGTTGTGTGAGTGCGTGTGTGTGTGTGTGTGTGTGCAGTTTTATGTAATTGTGTAGTATGTTGTGTGAGTGCGTGTGTGTGTGTGTGTGTGTGTGTGTGCAGTTTTATGTAATTGTGTAGTATGTTGTGTCTTGTGTGTGTGTGTGTGTGTAGTTTTATATGTCATTGTGTACTGTGTTCTGTGTGTAGTGTTTTGTATGTGTGTGTGTCTGTGTGTGTGTGTGTGTGTGCACAGTTTGATATGTGTGTTTGCTCTCAGGCCCGTCACTCATGTTAAACCCCCCTGATCTAATCTCACACTGTATAATCTGATGACGGAGAAATTAAAAATGCAGAAGGAGAGTGTGTGTGGGTGGAGGGGTGTGTGTGTGTGTGTGTGTGTGTGTGTGATTCAATCAGTCATGCAGTAGATCTGAAACTGCTTCAAAGTGCTGTGAAAACCATTGCTCATATGCCGCACTAATGCTGTCGCCACAACACACACAATCGCGTCAAATCCTCAATTTATTAAGTCATAAGTAAAAGTTTATTAAAGGATGTCAGTATCAGTCTGTGTGTATTCAGGAGATCTATAATCTAGTGTACTCCAAAAACAGTGAGAGCATTCACATGTAGAGGATACACAGCTGAAACCAGTAGACATACACTGTATAAAAAGGCACATAACCATTTAAAAAAGCCAGATGTTAATGTGACTAAACTTTTCCTCTTTTAGGTAAGTCAGGATGATCACATGTGTTTCTGTTCTGCTTAATAGCAGAATAACGAGAGAGATGTGTTTTGAGAAATTGTTCTAACTCTTCTTGAAAGTCAAGTTTACACACAATCAGATTATTCTGCCTCTGGAAAAGCTCAGATGATGATGTCGAGGTTTTGGAAGTTTCTGATTGGCTAATTGACAACATTTGAGTTAATGTGAGGCACAACTGTAGAATAGTATTGAAGGAAAAGCTCAAACACACTGCTTCCTTGTGTGACAACATGAGAAAATCAACAAGCCAGAATCAACAACAAAGCCAGATTACAATCTGCTGAATGACACTGGGAAAAAGACTAATGTTTGGAGACATGTCCTGTGCTCTGATGGAGCTGAGATTGAACTGTTTGGCCGTAATGAGCAGTGTTACATTTGGAGGACAAAGGGGAAAGCGCACAAGCCTAGAAACACCATCCCAACTGTGCAGTAAGGGGGCGGCAGCATCATGTTGTGCGGCTGTTTTGCTGCAGGAGGGACTGATCCACTTCACAGCATAGATGGCATCATGAAGAAAAAACATTATGGAGAAATACTGAAGCAACATCTCAAGACATCAGCCAGGACATTACAACTTGGCCAAATATGGGTCTTCCAAACAGACCATGACCCTCAGCATACTGCCAAATTAGTTCAAATGTGCTTTAAGGACAACAGAGTGAATGTTTTGGTGTGGCCATCACAAAGCCCTGATCTCAACCCTATAGAGAATTTGTGGGCAGAGTTGAAAAAGCTTGTGCGAGCAAGACAGCCTACAAATCTGCCTCAGTTACACCAATTCTGTCAGGAGGAATCAACCAAAATTCCTGCAAACTATTGTGAGAAGCTTGTTGAAGGATACCCAAAACATTTGACCAAAGGTATACAGTTTAAAAGCAAAGTATGTAAACTTTTGACCGTCTAGAAATTAATAAAAAATTCTCTAAAAACAAATCTCTCATTAGTCTGGCATGTTCCTGCAACCGTCCTACTAAATCTATGAAACTAAAGAAGTAACTTACAAATTAATTAATGGCATTTAAGCCTGGATGAACAACAGGACACATACAGGTGCGAAATTCAAATCGAATAGATTCTAAAAATAGTTTTTAGTTGAAGTCACAGGGCCCTATCATACACCCGGCGCAAGGCGTGATGCGATTGTTGTTTGCTAGTTTCAGCTTGGTGCAAGAGTCGTTTTGACGTTTTGCAGCACGCTGTTTAACCCTCTGGGGTCTGAGGGTGTTTTGGGGCTCTGGAGAAGTTTGTGTTGTTTTCAGTGTCTTAAAAACATATTAATGGCTAAAGTGTGATACCACTGTAAACAGCACAAGCTGGGCTACAAAAATACCTGAACAGCATGTTTGGATGTGTTTTTGAGAAAGAAACGTTTGGGAACGAATGAATCGCTAGAAAATCAAATGGGAGTCATATGCAAATGCATATTATAAGACAACGAAAGTGTTTTCTTGCACGCATATCAGCATGTTGTTGGAGACCCCCCAAACCAACATATGACCTTTTTTAATGCAAAATATGGGCTTCTTAAGTCATTGTGCTCTATTTTGACGGTCCATGCGCAAAGTGCAAAACGCAGGGCGGAAACGCTTTCAGGGCGTGTCAGAATGCATTTTTGCTCATTTAAGGACGGGAAATCCGCTTTGCACCGTGGCGCATGGTCTAAAAGGGTTGAGTTTATTTTCTTAATGAGTTATAGGTGTGTTTTGAGAATAAACCAATCAGAGTCTCATCTCCCATTCCCTTTAAGAGCCAGCTGCGTCACGCCAAGAGCGCATTCGCTATTTACAGGACGCAAAGTAAGTGTAAGTGGAAAATCTGAGCATTCTACAAGCAAATAGTTAACAGTTAATAGAAAACAGTTAAACAGAGCATCTACTGCGAGAGAATGAGAGATAATGGATCACTTTCACTTTCGCTCTTGGATAGGGAAACCTTTACGCACAGACATCAATTAGTCTATAAATAATTAATTTTGTTAGTTAAGCACAAATATTTGTTTCAAAGCTATTTCTAAATTCAGTTCTAATTTCCAGCAAACGAATAAATGAATAATAATAGCAAAATGTGCTCAAAAACCTGAGTTATATCCTAAAACACATGCTGTGCCCCATATGCTCTAAAACCTGACAGGTGGACAAATCTAAGCTTGTTTTTAATAAAACTAATATAAATATGGATATAATAAATAATACTGCTAATAATAATAACATTATACAAAAGCAAATTGTTATGAATGAACTGAAAAAGCCTCCCGAGATGAAGAAGACATAAAAGCAGTGATTTTTCATATTTATGTAGGCTAGAAAATAATATGTTTTGTAATATTTTAATCCTTTATATTTATATTCTATATCTATTCTTATTATATCCTCTATATATCCTTAATATTTAAATGTTTTCATATGTAAAGATATTTGCCTATTGCTCTCTTGTGTGTATTAAGCAGTGTGTAAGCGAGGCGCAACTCTGCGCTGGAGTTTAGACCGGGTTAGTTTTGGTCTAATGAAAAATCTATTATTGTTTCTCAAAATAGCAACGCGCCACCGGTGCACATCAGAACTCCTTCCTTTTTTAGACCAGCACAAATGAGCGCTAATGCATTTGCTATTTAAACAGCGTAGCGCAACGCCACAAAACGTCTCTTGCGCCAAGCTGAAACTACCAAAAGACTACTGCACCACGCCTTACGCCACACTGCGCCGGGTGTATGATAGGGCCCATAGTGTTTAAATAATGACTTCTGTTAAAATATTAACAGAGATTTGTGATTATTAACAATTACAGCGGAGCATTAATTAAATGCATAATTTCTGTGGATCAAACCATCAGGAAAGTGACACTCTAAGTCCATCTCTGTCTTGTGTATGTTGTAGTGCTGTATTTATACCGCAGTAATCAGTGAGTGTTTGCTTTGCTTTGGCTTTTTCAGAAATAATTATTGTGATCTCCCGATTGAAATACTGGTAAATCTCTGTAGACTGATGGCATTTCATGCTGTTCAGCCTTATAATCTTAAAATGTGAGCAAAATCAGCTGTTTTGTCATCACTTTAGACATTATGCTAGAGAATCATTCAAACACTAGCTCTACAGAGACGTTAGTGAATGAGCAGCGGCTTCTGCTGTTCTGACGTCAGCTGCAGATGTGAACGAATGGCGGAAGAAAGTAGTTCCTCATGCAAAAGGGTTTTTAGACTCTCTGTGTTTGATTGTCTTCTTTACATACACAATAATGTTGTCAAACCGTTGTATAAACACAATATCACATGAGTAGCAGTGCCATATGGTGATATTCCTCCCACTAGTGCCAATATACAGTCATACTGCACTGCTACTCGTGTGATATTGCTCATATTTGTGCTTTAGACTAATGGTGTGTGTGTGTGTTTGTTTTGACAGTGGTGCTGTGACCCATGTGGTGTCTGAAGGTCTGTCTGCGCAGGATCTCTGGCTCTGGCTGGAGGATCAGGGCTTTCAGGAAACTCACAGCAAACACGTGCTGAACATCAGCTGGTTTACAGAGAGCATGAGCGCAGGACGCCCCCTGCCTGTGGAGGACACACACTGCATACAGGTCAGTGCAATGGACACAGTTCAGGATGTTATTTATGTAGGGCTGTGCAATTAATCAATGCTCAATTTCTATTTTGGCCTCTGAAATGTTTATTATCAACCTAAAATGTATACTTTATAAACCACTTTGGTCAAGAGTATGAACACATTTCCTTAAAAGTTAGTGCAATTGACTCTTGATTCTCGGCACCTTGGAATCAAGGAAATGGTTATTTTGTGGAATTGACTCTTGATTCTTAATGCCTTGAACTGATTCTTTTTGGAATCGACTCTGGAAGGTAAAAATCTGCAATGCACATTTATATTGTCTACTGTTTGGATAGTATACAGTATGTAATGCACATTTCGTAATCAATTTTAGCAAAAGAATCAACTTATTAATTACTTATTTTAAAATGGAAATTCTCATTATGAAATTGATTCTGAATTCTGATTCTTTTGGAATTGACTCTCAGTTCTCAGCACCTAGAAATCAAGGAATTGATTCTTTTTGTAATCGACTCCCAGTCCTACAGATTTTGAGTGTAGTTTTTGGGGTGAACTATTCCTTGAAGACTGATTGTCACACATTTATATTGTCTATTGTTTAGATATTGGAGTATGACATACTAAAACCAGCTGTTAAAATCACGCAATGGTATTGTGAATCACAGATATGGTTAATTGAACCATTTCAGTAAAGTGAGCCATCCAAATCTGTTCACAGAAACATAACAAATCATTATTATCAAGTCACTTATGAGCATTATTAAACTAAAATTCGTAATAATGCAGTTAGTTTCTTGGAATCAAGGAATTGATTCATTTTTTTAATCAGCTGTTGATCCTCAATGTCTCAGAATGGATTCTTTTTGAAAATGACTCTTGATTTTCAATGCCTTGATTGATTTTTTTGGAAATAACTCTTGATTCTCAATAGCTCTGAATTTATTCTATTTGGAATCAACTCTTGATTCTCAATGTCTCAGAATCAATTCTTTTTGGAATTGACTTTTGATTCTCATTAGCTTTGAACTGATTCTTTTTGGAGCCTCAGAATTGTTTCTTTTTGGAATCGACTCTTGATTCTCAATGCCTCAGAATTGATTCTTTTTTGGAATCGACTCTTGATTCTCAATGCCTCAGAATTGATTATTTTTTGGAATCGACTCTTGATTCTCAATAGGTGCGTTCGACATGAAGCTCAGCTGCAGTCGGTGATCAACGAGATTAGCCGAGCGCAGGCGGGGGCGGAGTTGAAAACGGAGCCGTCAAGACGGACAGCTGGACACTTCGGGACTCAAAGTTGCTGCAGTCATGATGACCGATCACATGGCGTCATCATATTTTTTGTTATTTTTATTTATAACAACAAAACATTTAAGAAAAAAACAGAATACAGTCTCTACAAACTATAGTTCCTTTTTAAACAATAAGAGAGAATTATGAATAACATATATAACAAATGCATGAGAGAAATAAGAGGAAATAAGAGGTTAATATAAACATAAAAACAAACAGGTCTATTAAATACAAAGCAATAAGCATAAATTCTAGGAGTTAAACATTAATCTTTAGGCTAATACTTCTTGTTTGAATATGCTAAAA